AGGTGTATAGCTCGTAAGGAATAATACCCACTGTTGACCTCTTACCTCCGTATGGACAAATGAATGCCAATATGCAAAATAATAAAAGGTCAGGAAAAGCTGAGAGACAGCGCATTCTGCTGTCCTCGTACATGTCCATTTCCCAATAGTTTCAAAGGGAAGAAGAGGTGATGTTTCCTGAGACTAATACTTACTCCATTAAGAAAACACTACTTCTGTGCAGGTACTACTTGTGAGTCTAAAGAACAAATACTTGATGCAAAAGGATAGAAATGAAGCCTTCTGTTGTATCAGGTTACTACTGTGAGGTACTGGATAGCACTCATTTTTCAGCTGGTCCCTGTGGGCGGGGTTTCTATAGTTTTCCGTTGATAAAGACAACAGTGCTGTGATGTAAGGTGTGGTTTTGATGCAACCAGTAGCTGTCACCTTAAAGTATGTACTGTTTTCATCAGATAAGCATCTCCTTGTGTCTTGTACAACAGAATATGCACAGCCCCTCGTGGGAGGAGTCGTGGGCACACTCCATCAGAGATCCACCTTTAAACCTGAGGAAGGCAAAGAAGCAGGCTATGCAGACCTGGATCCCTACAACTCTCCAGTACAGGAAGTGTACCACGCCTATGCGGAACCGCTGCCCATCACGGGGCCTGAGTACGCAACCCCGATTGTCATGGACATGTCAGGGCACCCCACAGCCTCAGTTGGTCTGCCCTCCACGTCTACTTTCAAAACGGCAGGGAACCAACCTCCTCCCGCTTTAGTGGGAACTTACAACACACTTCTCTCCCGGACTGACAGCTGCTCCTCGGGCCAGGCTCAGTACGACACTCCGAAAGGTGGGAAGCCAGCCGCTGCCCCAGAGGAACTGGTGTACCAGGTGCCACAGAGCACCCAGGAAATATCAGGAGCAAAAAGGGATGAGAAGCGTGATGCTTTGAAAGAAATCCTTTGAAGGTGGTGCTGTTTTTGACGAAGCATCCATTTAAAGCACATGGCTTTTTAATCTGTAGTGTAGTGATAGTAGAATGTATTATGTATCTGTCACTGACGTGGATGGGGGAATGTGGTGACCGAGGTACAAGAAACTACTTACCTTGCCATCTTGCTTTAAAGGTGTTACTGTGTGGCACAGTTCCTGCTTGCCTGTTACATTTTGAACATCCTGTTTGTTACTACTGTAAAACACTATTTTTAATACCGAAAAGGCTTCCTATAATGCACTTCAAAGAACCTGAGAATCACTGAGTATTTATTACCAATGCTGCAGGTACATTAATGAACTTGAGATGGTTCCGTAAGCCTTGCTGGCAATAACGCATGGTACTGTTCTTGAAATTATCAAATGGCTTGAAATTCTCCCTTTGTGAAAGGTAGGTACTATCATGTTCTCCTCTTTCAACCCTGTATTCCTGTCCGCAGTCTTTTCTCCTCAACAGCGGTCCATAACCATCGTCATAGTTGCAGGCGTGTGCGCTGCTCTGTATTTCCCTAGGAAGATGCATAGCTGGAGCACCCAGCCTTGCAGTACGCTGGGTGACTGACTTCTCCTTTGGTAACACTCTTTTAACACCAGGTGGCTCAGGACCTGGTCTCACCTCTGCTCATCCCACCCAGGACCATTTGTGGCCTCGCTCTATCCTGTGTTTATAAATGCTGGTGGTCCCTTTCAGTAGGCAGTCTTTAGGTCTTCTTCCCATGGAAATGGGGGAGAAGCCACTTGGTCCCTCCACTCCCCTCTGCAGAGATATATAAAAATTGAAGGGAGACTAAACTTAATTAACCTCCTTGGTTTTATTTACACACAAGCTCAAATACAAAAATTTTCTCTAAGTCCGAAGGTATTTTATAATTTTAATCATAGTTTGTTTCTATTTTCTTCAGTAAACTATTACAAGAAAAAGTAAAAGAAAACCAGTATGAACCAGACCTGATGGCTCAGGCCTGCAGTCCTAAGACCTGGGTGGCTGAGGCATGAGGATCCCAAGTTCAGGATGAACCCAGGCTACTCATAAAATCCTGTCTCAAAATAAGAAAGGGGCAGAGATATGTCTTAGTGGTTTGTGCTTGCCTACAGTAAGTGTGAGGCCCTAGATTCAGTCCTAGTACTAAAAGAGAAAAGAGGGCCAACATGCATTCTTCAGTTGTGTGTAATTCTGTGGAGAGAGGCCCAAGTAATCCTTTGTGTCAGACCTGGTTGACCAGTGTCATCACTTCTGAACTGACACGATTCTCCCCAGCAGCTTGTCACTGTTTGAGCATAACCTGCCCAGACTCGTGTCAGATAGGGTTGATTAGATATTGTAATGGGTTAGCCTACAGTGCAGAAACCACCTTCTCATATCTGTAGGCGGGCAAGATAACTGAAGAAGCCCATCAGATGTAGACATAAAATTCCCTATCCCTGTCCACAAACCTGTTGGTTGGCTAAGTTGTAAAGTATATCAGGCCATCAGGTCCTGGTCTTTTTCCTCAGCTTATACCATCCAGGTTCTGCATTGCCAAACTTTACTAACTTTGGATAGTGGTAGACAGTATTTACTCTGCTCCCTTCCACAAGTATATCAGTATTTTAAAACATTGCTTCAGAAACAGAGTTGTCTGTTTGTGCAGGTTCCCTGCCTCTGCCCCTCATATGATTTTGTTGTTTTTTATTGTAATTTGCCTTTTGTTTTGCAGACTTTGAGGCACAATTTCACTCATTGAAAAATCAATGCATATTTTGTTTCAAGGTAATGAAGCAAAAAGCACAGATATTGAACTTGTACTGAACCACTTGAGAATGTGTAAAGCACACGGTGCAGTTGTCCCCTTTCAGGTGGGAGCAAAGTAAACCATTTGCTGTTTTATTTTTATTCATGCTTAGTAGGCAGAGTATAGTTTTCTTGGAGTCTGATTCCCATTGGAAGCTTTAAGAGAGACATTTTGAAGATGAAGTCATTTTCCCAAAGAAGCTTGCTATTTTGTGTAACTGTGTCTCGGATCATTTTCCCCAGAACGTTTTTAAAATAAAGCGAGGCCATGTTCTCGTATGATGCATATTGTAAGACTTGATTCATATTGCCACTGTGCTGTCTTCAGCTCTACCAATGATTTTCATAAAATCCTGGTTATTTTTATATTTTTTTTTTTTACTTTGCAGATGAGCTGAGCCTAATTCAAATGATTTTCTCTGGTTTTGTATTTTTGTTTATGTAATATAGATTGTGTTTGGTTCTCAGTCACTTACATGTCTGATACAGAGCTTTGGAAGACAATCAAGTAAAATGTGAAAGGAACCTTTTCTTGACCAAACTCTTGATTTTTTTTAATTGTTAGCTTGAAATACTCAATACTTAAGTCACTGTGGTTTTATTCAGTTTCCCTTTTCCTAATAATACAATTATAGAAATATATAGACAGCAGTGTGGCAAGAGGTTTCAGAAAATTATACTGACTTGGCTGTTACTTGATCTTTGGAACCAGCACAGATGAAGATGTTAATTCTGGTTTGCATTTTATTAAATGCTGTTTGTAGATCCAGATAGTTCCTGTTGAATGTGCCAGGTCTAGTCCAGTTATTTAATTCATGTTTCACTGTTTGCACTTTGCATTGAACAATGGGTTTATTCGCTGTTCACTTAGAGAATTTATACAGTCATGACGGTTATGATGTGTTCTACGTGTGTGCTTCTCCTCTCCCTGTCCCAGCGACGAAGCATTAAATACGGTTGTGGCCACAGAGCTGTGGTCAGGGATTGAGCGAGAGCTTCTTTGCCTTGGCTCCACATTGTCACCTGGGGAGTAGAAAACTAAAGCAGACAAGACCACTAGAAAGAACCCAGAGACTATGGGGGACACCGATGGTGTCCAGACCCTCAGTGGAGAATTAACGAAGCTCTGTAGAGGGGCTGTTAATTCTGCCTTTTGGTTTTGAACTTGAAAAGTCCCTAAACTGCAAACCTAGGGGGTTGGGTGGTTAGAGAGTTAGAGAATGTTTAAGTTGACTGTGGCACCAATTCTTATGTAGTCCAGCTTGTGTGTATTTTCCCTCGTTTCCCACTTTTGGCACTGGGAATGGTAAAAATAAAACATGTATTGCAATACAGAGGAAGTAAAAATGGCTTGACTGTCAGTTATATTCTCCCAGAATGTATTTTCTTACCTCGGCATGTACTGTAGTCACTTGATATTTGTATATGTTGCTAGAATTTAGGCTGTTGGAAATAGTGAGATTCTAATGTGTTTTTAATAAATTATATATGTGTGTCTTGCTCAGATTATTTGGATTAAATAAAACAACCTTTTACATCATACTCCATAAAATGCCAGATTTCTCAGCATTGACATCACATTTTTATGACCAAGATTATAGTGCTTAAAGCATCATTTCAAAATGCTCCCGTTGTTCTTTCTCCTTTGCTCCCCGTCACCTTTTCTGCCGCCAGCTCCCCCCTGACATACCATGAACATGAACCTGGGCAGCCCAGCTCCCTGTGGCCATGCAGTGAGAGGGAAACTCCTCATGAACACGTAGAGTCTTCTAGTGCGCGGCTTCCACCTCTGAGTTATGAAGCTGGGCACTGTTCCAGTATGAGGGAGCCTCACTATCCATCCAACACAAGCTGGTTTTCAACATTTCATTCCTCCTTTTCCTGGTATTGAACTCTTCACGTGTACTCTCTTCAGAGAGGCAAGTTAGTTGCCAGTACCACTTACATTTCCAGGAATGCATGCTGCTCCAAGGACAGTGACTGTTGTTCTCCTCAGATCTCCGATGGTATCTGAATCCATCCTTGCCACCTCTGCTACTCTTTTCTCCTCCTTTCTGCCCCCGAGAGCCTTTGCTTGTGTGTATTAACAATTGGAGACTGCGTCAAGGGCTAACTTTTGTTTGTGGTTCATCAGACTTTCCTCTAGTGTACCTGAAGTGGCCTAATAAATGTTTTAGTGAAGGCTAAATTGAGTCATGAAGTGCTGACTTTTTTTTTTTATACAAACAAACAGAGAATCAGCTGGAATCTTAAGGCTTTACTTTCATTGGTTTACTTTTCTGATTTGCTTCAAATAAACAATTAAGAGTCAATGGATACATTAGACTGGGAAAATACTTAAGTTTCTCATTCTTGACCTTATCCCTGCACTCCAGAGGCAGAGGTAGGCCCATCTCTGAGTTCAAGGCCAGCCTGGACTGCACTGTAGTTCTAAGCCATCCAGAGCTTACATAAATCTTGTCTTTAAAAAAAAAAAATGTTTTTTTTCTTTTAATTTAAAAAAATGATGCTGTAGGGTACAGTGGTACACAATTGTAATCCCAGAACTTGGGAAGATGAGGCAAGAACCCAAGTTCTCAAGGCCAGCCTAGGCTACATAGTAAGAACGTGCCTCATCCCACCCCCCACAAAAAAAATCTCAGGACGCTCATCAAGGTGAGAGTGCTCATCTTAGCATATATAAGAAAAGACTGATTTACTCCCTAACACTGCAAGTTATTACTAGTTTACTTAATTGCATGGGGAACTTAATTAAACCACTATGAACACCACACCATGGACTTCCAAAACCAAGTGGTTCTAGTTTCCTGCACCTGGACCTCAGTCATATGGCAGGAATAACAAATAATAAATAATTTGATGGACATGTGACCATCAAAACTAGTGACGTCAACTAAATCACCTAGAACTCTAAGATGAAGGGACTACAAAAAGGTATTTTAAAACACCTCAAAACACCAGCTTGTTTTAAACAAGTCAAAACTTTAAATAGTTCCCTGATATCATAACTAAAAGGTTTGTTTTGTATTTCATAAATACATTCACAGAAATTAAGCTGGTGGTTATAAATCACCAGGCATCAACAGACAATACATATAATAATAATTTGATGAGTTCATTCAACATATTTAAAAATAAACTAAAATTTTCAGTACAAAAATAAAACTAATACTATTTAGCATCATCCTTTGAATCTGTATGGTCAATCTTGAGTCAAGTTGATTACCATATTTTTCTCTATAATTCTCTTTAAAAAGAGCTGCTCTGCAGTCACATTGTGATATGCATTCTGAAAAAGAAAATGAAATAGGATTGTCATCAGGAAAATGATTACGCTTAGAACAAATGTTGAGCTTTTCCCTCCAGCCCTAGCTTAAACATTTGTCTCATGTTAGAAGAACAAAAGACAGCAGTAAAATTCATCATGAGTGTCATTTCCCGAGCTGGGGTATTCAGAGGCTGTTTAACAGGGCAGATTTCATGAGCTGTTGCAATATACTTTAGAGCAAATGACCCATTTCAAATTTTTAAACATAACATTTTTGTGTCATTTATGGTGTATCATTAATCTTAAGAACTCTCAACAGTAGGAAACATCTTCTCATTCAGAACTGGACCCTCAGGATCAAGCCCACCAGCATCAGTGTCTGATGGAGAGGATCATGGCCTGGTAAAGAGGTCTGCCACTTAGTCACCATGAAGTCTTTCATAGGGTTCCATGTTTCTAGACCACCTGTCTACTTAACTAAAAGTTAAGTAGTTAATTACTATGACCATAGTGATGATTTGGTGAATTCATGTGTCTCAAACACACCAGCTGATTATATTTAAATAATGTAAAAAGGAAATCTCAAATAAGACTCTGTCCGTATTGGGGTTTGATGAAACAACAGTCACTGTGGGGCTATCCAAAGAATCTGAGATCTACAAGTTAGAAACTGCTGCTATAGTAAAATGACCTCTGGACCAGGATCCTGGATTCAGCATTTGAAAGCTCAAAGGTATGCAAGGGGACACATGGGTGAATGGGGACAAAACTCAGTGAGTAAAGTACTTGAAATGACCAGAGTTCTACCTCCAGCACATATGTAAAAAGCCAGGTGTGGTGGCGTACACTTGTGATCCCTGCTGTGGCTTGGTAATGGCAGGCTGATCCCTGGGACTGGCAAGTCACTGCTTAGTAAATTCTGTACCAGAGAGAGTATTAAAGAAACAAGGAGAGTTTCTCAGCCTAGATATAGCAGGGAGGGCCTTGGACCTTCTCCAAAGCAATATGCCTTACCCACTCTGAGGATTGGATAGAGGGGTAAGTGGAGGGAATAGGAGGAGAGGAGGGAGTGGGAACTGGAATTGGCATGTATAATGAAAAAAGGTAGTTTTCCTTTTAAATAAAAAATAAAGCTAAAATAAAAAGAAAAACAAGGTGAGGAGTAACATTGCCCCGCAGCCCCCAGAGACACCCATACATGTGTGCACCTACAAACATGATGAACACATTACACACAGTTCTTAAAGTATGGGTTTTCTAAACAGTAAAAAAGAAAAATTACCTTGTTCATCAAAGACATGGTGGCATTCCCATAGTAGTGTAAAGGACTGTTTGGGTTGTTAACGTTGTACTTGAAACCAGCCAGGTGAACTTCACTGCATATGTGAAATGCCAGTGTGAGGGCAATAATTCCTGTCGTGGGGTGTTTGGGTTTCTAAGAAGAAATCAGTAACTTAAAAATACAAATAAGCCACATTCTTCCCAGACATACCTAGTCTGATGAAAATGGATTTCTAAACATTAAAAAGAAAAATAGTTAAGTCATCATTATATCCTAAGACTCAAGCCCCAAAGAGTACACAGTACTCTAAAAAGAACATACACTATGGCTAGTATCTTAGGAAGTCTCTAAAATACAGCTGCAGTTTTAGCATAGAGAGCAGTTGTGAATTGAAGAGTAGTATCCTGCTGTGGTTGTTTGATGTGAAACAAAACATCATAACATGAGTCCAGTTGCTAAGGCAAAGCCTTAGGAGAATTGAGACTCTCAATAAAATATAAGGATGCTCCGTTTACTCTGGCCTCATGATCAACACTGCCCCTTCCTCTTCCCAGCCTTTGAGATATGAGTACTCTAACACACTCCCACAATGGTTGCTACCTTCAGTATGTGTAGGACCTTTCAAACCTGAGCTAAGAGTCTCTTCTTCCTAAGTGGCATACCTTCGCTACTTCGTGTAGCATGAAGCTGACAAACACAGAGTGCTTGAGACAATTCTCTCTACTCTGAAAAGCTACTTCCTTGTCCTAAAGCTATTCTGCACACAGGGCTGCTGGGCACCCACCAGTCATGCTGGCCTTGCTGTACAACTCTGAAGATGAGGTCGTAAGAAATGAATCATTGAGCCTTTGGAAAAAGAATCTATGAAGACCACACAAGCACAAACACACCCTCCCCACTTTATTTTGCAACCTGTAAAACATCTGGTAATATCATCTGGTGTTTAATTTCTGCACACAGTTGTAGTCCTAACACAATGCCATCTAAACCATGGTCCCTAGTTTCCAAAAGCTCTAATGTCCCTCGGTCCCCTTCGCTAGGTCTTTAGTTCAAAACTAGGTGATGAAACATACATACCTGATCTTTGGGGAAAACTTTGGGAAAATGAAGCAGGTGATGAGCTGCTTCTCTGATAATGTACGGATCTAATATTCTGATTTGGTATAGCTTATAGATCAAGTTTAAGGCTGGCTTCTTCCAAAAACCATTAGTGTTCTGAAATAAAGGACACAGAAAATGGGATGTTGTGAATACATTTTTTCTTTAAGGGGAAATACTGAAAGTAATTGGAACCAAATAGTTTTGCCAACTTACTATGTTGGTACCACTCATTATTTCCCAGAGCCACCTTAAATCCTGTGGCTTAAAGACAATGAGAATTGCCGTGGTGTTGGGATCATTGTGAGTGGGATCTGAAAAGACAGACTCTGGATAAAAAAGCCTGAAGGTTGTCCTTCTCCCAACATCCTCTTCATGTCCTAAAACAGGACCATTATTCATTCTGCGGATAGTAAGACAACAATATATACAGGATGAGCCATTTTTGTCTGGTCCTGAGGCTTCAGAATTGAATGAGCATCAGTCATGATTCCTGCACTCAGAAGCACCAAGACAACTGAAAAATATTTTTACAGTGATGACCAGGGAGATGATTCCTTCATGAGACAGTCGTCTGTGTTCGAAAACTAATTACAGCGTCAGTCATTCAGTTTGATCTACACAGGACTAAAAGAAATGAGACTACAAAACCACAGAATTACTATAGTTAGAAGAGACCTTGAGGGATAATCACACAAACTGACCTTGGATTTGTAATTAATGGCCATGAATTCCTGAGAAAGTTATATGCCTATAAGCTATATAACCCAAAACTATATGGATGTGCACCCATGTGACTGATGAGCCTGAAGAACCATTTAAGTTAGTGTGAAGACCCACTGAAACTGTTCTGGGGCTCAAAAGGTGGCTCAGTGGTTAAAAGCATTTGCTCTTCTTCCAGAGGACTGGAGTTCGGTCCCCAGCACTGATATATGCTGGCTTCACAACCATTCCTAAATCCAGTTCTAAAGGATCCATTCCCCTCTTCTGGTCTCCACGGGCAACAGGCACAAACATTCTAAAATTAACTATATAAAAATTCTGTATCACACTGAGCACAATTAGACAAATTCCTTTGGCTGGTGAACTATAAACAGTAAAAAGATCTACTGTTGGATCAGTGTATGCTTAAGGCCAGTGTTAGACAATCACTGTTTGTGCACACAGTATAAAGGCATTATATGAAAAAGGAATGTTTTGTTTCCAAAACAATGTCCCCTGAGAGGATAAATAGCGTTTTACCCTTTTGCCACCAACTCTGTGTAATACAAGACACTTGCAATGGCTTTCAAAAATGTCCCCATGGTGTTCCCTACAAAGGCTTGCTGAGGTTCTAAAAATTATCAGAGTTAAACATCTGTAAGTGGGAAAGAGGAGAAATCCAATTGTTTGATAAATTACCACAGCTCCTTCAAAATGGGTAATAAACAGGAAGTAAGATGACCTTGCTATGCAGAAATCAGCTTGCAACCCAGTCTCCAGGCACACTGCAAGGTCTTCCCAGTGTGTGATCTGGTCACCATTTACAATGGCTGCTTAAAGCTATCCCTAACATACCCGGGGCAGGGGGTGGATTAGGGAAGGGGGACACAGACAGGGAGAGAATTTTACCCAGATAACAACCTTAGCTCCCCTTCCATTCTGACAGCAGAGATAGAAAAGTGTCGTCGTGTCCCCCCCCCCGCCCCCCCCCCCCCGCCCATACTATGATTAAGGAACTATTGGTAGCTGTAACAATTGCATAGGTCTCCTTTCCATTACAGAAAACAAATCACCCTTGAACTCTTGACCCCGGGGCCTCTTTTTATCCCACCAGCTTCACTACTCAACTACTTTAACCTTATGCCTTCTTAGATTCTGCAACCACCTCCAGGGCCCAGTTCATTTTCAACTGCTCAGATTTCTCAATAGTTGACCATACTGGTTTCTCCCGCTTATCTTTCATTCTCTCCTCAATTCATTCCAGTTGGGCTTCTTGCCATCTCCTGCCTGAAGCTTTTGGTCAAGGGTGACAGTGACTGCTGGGCAGACAATCCAGCTGGTCCCCGTCTGCCCTTGCACAGCTTTTCATCACAATTGGACCCAACTGATCTCTTTTCTGAAACACTTCGCCTTCCGATTAGCAACTGTGGTCACCCCGTTTTCTTCATGCCTCACCAGTAGATCACGCTACGTCTTAAGAGCTGCAAACATCAGTGCCAGACCCTCTCACATGTCTGCCCAGCTTGCCCAAGAGCAGAGGTTCTCAGCCTATGGGTCGAACAACCCTTTCACGGGGGTTGTATACCAGATGGTCTGCATATCAAATATTTACTCTGATTCACAACAGGAGAAAACTACAGTTATGAAGTAGGAACATAAGAAGTTAATGGTTGGGGGAAGGGGGCACTACAACATGAGTAACTATTAAACTGTTTCACCAAGCCCTTGGTTTAAATACAGCTCTTAAGACAGTCACTATTGAAAAGTTTTACCTCTTGATGTGACTGGCAACTTCCCTACTAATATCTCAAAGATAACACAGCAATACAGAAATTTTTATTTTCTTCCAAACCTGAGCCTAAACTTGTTTCCCAAACTTGCTATATAATGAATGCTGTAACTCCCCAGCCAATCAATGGAGCTGAAAACAGCCAGAGGGCCCTTGCTTCCTCTATTTGCAGTACTTGATCTAATGAAGCAGTAAATCCTGATACCCCTTTTTCCGTAACCCCGTTCCTGTCTGCCACTTCCCCTCTTCCCGTCAATGACAATTTTACCCATGCATCTACTGCCTCAATACAGCAACTTCTCTTGACGCTTCCTACCATGGCTAGTCCCTCGTGGTCCATGGTCTGCTGCAGCCAGAATACTTTCCAGACACAAACGTATTTCCTGCAGCTCCTATCTAAAATGCTTCAAAAGCTCCTAAAGGACTTAAATTAGCATACAATTTTCTAATCTTAAATGTCCTGCATAGCCTGTTCTTTGCCCCCCTCCTCTGTTTCTGGTTAGACCACTCTCTGAGCTTGGGTTATCTGCTGCTTCTCACAAAGTCAGGATGAAAGCTTCCTAAGGACCTGCAAAACATCCTCTCTGTCTAGAGTGCTCTCATTGTCTTCATATAGCTAGTCTTATAGGGGTCCTTTGGTCTAGCTTAAATTTCACCCCTTTTCAAGTAGTCACTTGATAATTCTGTCTGTATTAAACTTACAATATCTTCTTATATATCTAATTACTGTTTTCCCCATTGCTTTAGAATATAAACCCCACAACAAGAACATTCTTATCATGCTATGATCTCCCCTGTGGCTAACTTTGTCCCTGGCATACTAAGTGGACTTATTAAATATTTGCTAAATCAGTGATCTGAAATCTAGTTTACTGTACCCAGGAACTAAGGCAGAAAGCTCTATAATCAGGTGCATAAACGATCATTTTTAAAACACAGCTGTGCTAGAGTGGGAAGCCACACTCTTTTCGAGCAATTCTAGGTTAGAAAATAGGAGCTATGTTTACCTTATGATCACATCATAGGAGTCGATTTTTTCTCCTAATGTCTTATTCTTCAACACGCCTCCATTACCGACCACCACACACCTTTTACACGGCACACTGTGGAGCAAACAGACAAGTGTGAGACTCAAAAATCACATTTAGGATTTGGAGTGATTCCAAGAACCCGTTCCTGCTCTCAAGAACTAACTAAAATTTCATTTGTCATCCAAGTAGAAAAATAACCAACTGTGCCTGAGGTCCAGAGACTCAGGAAAAACAATGCTGTTGGGGAAAGCAAAGCATCATGGTTGATGTCAACCCTTAACAGCTCATGCCCACGTCCATTCTCTCCTGTGTTCCTCAACATCACCAGGTTGGAGAGAGAAGCCTGATAGACAAATGAAGAAATGAATTTGAGGGGAAATGTATCACTCAAAGTCCAAACTCCGAACAGGTGGGACTAGCATTTGGTTCTGAACTTTCAGAGTGCCAAGGGGTTCCATCAGCATAAACTTGCGGGTCCTGCTAGCCTAGCTCCCATTACATCACTATCTCCATTCTAAACCAGTATTCCCCACTCCTTATCTGCCCCTGGCTTTCTCTTGCATCATATGAGTGTGGAAATGACCAGTTTGGAATGTGGTAGAGGAAGGGCAGCTTTCTGCCTGGGCTCTCTTGAATTTCTCAAACATGACTGCTTCTTGGTGTTTCACCCAAACACAGCATTCACTGTGCTTCTGAAAAAAAGCTTTAAGTAGAACACAAAGGGGGCTTCCACGGCAGAATCCAACCCTGGGGTGGCACAGCATTGGCCCTTGGCTAAAGTGACCTTGGCCTGGGATTTTCTTGCTCTGACCATCATCCACTAGGCCTAAGAAATCATAGATCTCTAGGAGACAAGCAGAGGAGTCTGCTAAGGGCTCCTTCCTAACAGGGGAAATCTAAAGACAAACCTGGTCCTCAAGCCAGCAGCAGAGCCAACCTCCAAATTCTAAGACTTAAACCTTAATAGCGAAACTGTACAAATGCTGTGTAATATTTAAACCTGGAGAGGGTAGGAGTGGGAAAACATTTTTTAAAACCCAGATTGGGTTAAGAGATGATGTATGCGTTCTGTAATCAAGTTTAACATATTTTCAGAGACTTGCCTTGCATATTTCAATGAATTATGTCATGTTTTAACATGGATATTACAAAAGCACTTCTAAAAATATAAAATTCTTTGCCTGTTTTAGTTATATTCATTCTCTCTCTCTCTCTCTCTCTCTCTCTCTCTCTCTCTCTCTGGCACAAGTGTGGTGATCAGAAGTGTGGTAGAGGAAGCCCAGCTCACCACAGCTCCCAGCTCCTCACTGCTAGAGAGAGGGTACCACCGTCAAACCAATTTATGGGCATTGGTTCTCCCTTTCCATCATGTGGGTGCTGGCGACACACAAATCCATCATAAATGGCAGTGAGCACCTATACCTATTGAGCCATCTCACCAGCCCCAGTCCCCCAAATATTCTGACACACTTTAACTAGAGGCTCTTAGTTCTCAACTGTGAGTTCTGCTGGCATCAGTATCTACTTCACCAGATAAGAACAAGAAACAACAGTTTTATGGCTGTCAAGAATTTGGGGGCTGAAAGACAGGGGCATTGCCCAATAAAATTATCCAATAAAAAATAAAAATTATCCAGTAAAAAGTGTGCTCACAAATCTTTGCATAATCAATCCACATCACAATATGTTCTGGAGGTGTCTTCTTAGGTCTGCTTATTTTAAGAAGGAAACTGTCTGGGAAGTGAATGTGGTCTGGGTGCATTATGTGAAATTTCCAAATAATCAATAAAAATATTATGTTGAAAAAATTACAAAGTAGTATCACGCATTAAGAAAGGAAAAAAGGAAGGAGAGGAGAGAGAAAGAGAAAGAAAGAAAGTTGTATCTGGAGACTTTTATAAACAAGTGTGACCTCAATACGAACTGGAGGAAGCCCAGCTCACCACAGCTCCCAGTTCCTCACTGCTAGAGGGTACCACTGTCAAACCCTCTTTTCAGAGTATCACAGCTGTTCTCCTCAGGAGGTCTGTCCCACAAATGCCCTCCACAGGGAGCAATTCCTTCTCCAGAAACTCAGGGTCAGTTCTTTCCCAGGCTGATCCTGCTGAAGCTGGCCATTCCTCGCCCCTCCTGGAAATCCTGAGCAAGCCTGCTCCATCTAGACAGGGTGGCTCAGAACCTACAGGTTAGAAGCAACAGCTGTTTCCATGAGACAGCCTGAATGGAGATCAGGGAAGAGTATCAGCGATCATCAGTCTAACCCCTCAGCCTCCACTGAAGACTGAAAGCCGCTTTCCGCTCTTTATTTGGAAGTGGGGACATCGAGACAGGGTTTCTGTGTGTAACAGATTTGACAGGAACTAGCTCTGCTCGGCCACTTTCAATTCTATTGGGCGAAGAACTGCTTTTCCCTAAGTAGAGGGAGAATTCTAAGGGCTCCAGCTTTTATCCTGGCCTGGAACTCCTGTCTGATACCAGACTACAATCTTGAATACACCAACCACAGAAGGGCAAGCGCTGCTGGGAGTGAAGGCTCCCAGCATGCCCTCTGGGACATTACACTGGAGTTTCAATAAAGGATTCCAGGCTCATAAGCTGGAGCTCTGAAGTTCATTTCCGAAAGAGGTAACTTGGCTCAGTCCCAAACTGGGCGAATGCTGTAAGGCTGCAATGCACTGACAGGGTGAACCGTAGTATTCCTAGAATATACCTCCCTATCGGACCAAGTTGTATGTGGCATCATGACCAAAGGATCAGATGGGGGCTACCATCTGTCATGCCAGAGCATTGATTCTCCCCTCCAAGTGCGAGCCCTGAACCTCCCACAGGCCTTACTAAAATACGGTCAGCCAAGAGAACCAAGGATACAGGCAGATCTCTTCTACAGGGTCCTCGAAAACTAGCCCCACAGAGTGCCGTTCTTGGGCATCACACCTCTGTGTCAAACACTTGTAGGAATTCCATTTTCTGTTTTCTTCTTTGCCAGCTTTACAGGGGACAGGGGGAGAAAGGGCCTTTGCTGGAAGAAAAACTCCCCAAGCATCCAGAGGAAACCCTGTTCCTGAGATCCCGTCTTTCCTCAGAGGAAAAGATACCACAAAGACTGATATACTTTACTGAAGCTCACCTAGGTTACAGGGAATGGGGGGTAGTGCTAGCATGGCCTGTTCCCAGGAGCGTCTTATCCACAGCTCCACTGCAGTTCTGGCAGGTACAGAACGATACCAACTGTCTGAACCACTGCTCTGGGAACTCGCTTCTCCCAAACAGATTCTCATGTTCTGTAAAAGAACTGAAGCGTCCTGCCCCTCATGATGCACTTGACCTTGGACTCTGGATGCCCTGGCACCTTAGATGTGAGAAAGGATTCCCAGAATCCTCTGTGGATTGTGTAACTTCATCATGTTTACTTTTTGTTTTTGTTTGTTCGTTTGTTCTGAGACAGGGTTTCTCTGTATAGCCTCGACTGTCCTGAAACTCGCTCTGTTGACAAAGATGGCCTCGAACACATAGAAATCAACCTGCCCCTCTCTGCCTCCTGAGTTCTGGGATTAAAGGAACGCACCACCACCATCTGGCTCATCAATCATGTTTACTTAGCACCATCTTCATGCACAAATAGCTGAGGTGAATTCTGAGTGCCTAGAAGAAAGAGTGGTGTCCTTTTTCTTGCCTGTGATTCCAACAAAACCACTCATTCATTTACAGGGGTTTCCAAACTCAGTTCGGTTCTCACATTAAGTGTGTGGACGTTACTCTCCCTAAGTGTGTAGAGAGGCAGATTTCTGTTACTCTACCTGGGAAAAAAGTAAGGAAATACACAGACCCCCAAGAGTCTTATCCACTAATCAAATAACTGCAGAGTGTCAGAACTTGTAAAAGTAGGACCTCAACAGCCGCTGAGGAAGCAGGGCTAGGATTCATATCCTCCACATAGAAGGCATGTTTCTCCTGAGATCAGGCAAGACCAAGAGTCACACACTGTACAGGGCTACAACCCCTGGCTGAGTCACTACTCCACAATACACAGAAAGTAAACTGTAGCTACTATTACAAACCGTCTGTGATATATCTTCATTACTGAGTGCGTTGAGATGTTCTCTTTTTACCTTGGTAACATGCAATACATTAAAACATGTCACGCTGGCGTTAGTGTAAGAATCTATGGCAGGTCCTACTGGCCAAGCTCTCAATAACCCAGAAGCCTCCTTTTGTAAGCCTACAGTGGTGAGCTCATTATCCCTCACACTGATTGGTCTAGTTGCAGCCATGTGACTCATCCCACATGATCAATCAGATAGTAGGAGAGTCTGTCAGATGCTTTCAGAAAAGATTCTGCCCCTGGAAAGACAATGGTATAAGTAAAACATTTTTGATCTTCCCCTTCCTTTCAGCTTAGACATTGACACTGTATGGCATAGGTTAGAGCAGAGACCACCATCTTGTACCTAAACAGAAAAAAACCACAGAGATTCTGCCTTAGATTCCTCACACCACTGAGCCACTATTCAACCCCTCAACCAGAGACATGCCATAAAGATGCTAAGACTGCACATAGTCTAAATTCAGGAAGCTTCAGGAAGACAACTTCGGGTATAAATTGGCACTTTATGTTCAGTGAAGCCATTGGCGTACCCTATAGGAACCATAAACCTCAAGACTGATAATGCATGTTCAATCAGAAATCAATATTCCTTGAAGCCAAACCCTGAAATAGTGTGCAATTAGGGATGAAGGCCAGGTTCTCTACTCCCTTAGTGCCTCTAGGAATGTGGTTTGATGATCTGACCCCTCTCATCACAGTTTGTATGAAATACAGAAACCACTGACGTCTTCCATGTTGGGGGTTTTTTGTTTGTTTGTTTTGTTTCATTTTGTTTTGGATAGGGGAGCCTCAGCTCTTGTATCTTATCTTAGCATCTGTGAAGAGATGGTAGGAAACGGGCAGTGGTTGCCCTGTGCTTTTTACCACAGATGAACCCTCTGTTGATCACAACTTCCTCTGCTCTCAGCTCCTCCACCCTACACGGGCTTGGAGCTATACAATCCTTCACTCGGCAGAATGTCAGAGTGTGGACAGGATGCAGACCTTCATCATGTTCGTAGCGTTTCTAACAAGCTTCTGTTCTTTCTCACTGCAGGATCCTGCCCTGCCTCTCCTTGTAACCAATCCAACCCAGTTCTGTTGAGCTGACATAGTGGGTTCTGCTTCATGAAGCATCTAGACAACTTCTACAACCCATCACGCAGTTAGCTGCCAACTGCTTTAATGCAGGTGTTTCCCTTCGTAGGTATTTATCTGTAGTCACTGTATAACTACCTAGACCGTGGGACTAAAGCATTCTTCATCTGGTGGCTGGGGGTGGGCAGCAAGTTGGTGCATTTTAAGTGGAAGCTGCAGTTCTGCATGCCAAGGCTTCTGTGGCTCCTCGCTGGGGAGGGATGAAATTCCACTGGAGAGGTTGCGATATCCCTGAGGCCAGGACCAGGCTAGAACAAGGGAGTGACATGGGCAACAAGGAAGTCATAAGCTTAGATTATGGGCTTGTTTTAAGTGTCCTTTGCAGTTTTCTTATAATGTCCATCCTTAGTGAGGCTCAGTGGGCATGGAAGTTAGGCTCCCTGAGCTTAGGTGAATTGAGAAAATCTTTATCTGTGAGAAAGCACAGGAGCAGCGCGGAGAGGCGTGGCTGGGCTATTTATCTCAGTTGACTTCAGGAGCATCCGTGGCACATAAACACTTGGGGACCAAAGAAACAACAGAGAAAGCTCCTAAAAAGACTATCACCATGCTTCCCTCCACCCTTACAACAGGACATACTTTTTTATTATTATTGCATTTTGCTTATTTAGTGTGAGAGAGAACACTCAGGTCTCTCTTTTCACTCTATGTACCCGAAGTCGAACTCAGGATGTCCACAGGCTTACCAGGTGGGCACAAAATGACCTAGACAACAGGCAACATCTCCCATGCCCTTTCTAGCCAGACATGTCCAGTGCCTCAGTTTACCCCACGAGAGTCATCAGTGGCCGAGAGGGCGTATTTAATGATCGATTCTGAGGGTGGAGAAGGAGGAGACAGTCTGAAAAGCTCCAGCTTGTAAGACTTGCCAATCCCCATGACATAAATAATGGCTCCAGATGGCAAGCTTCCAGCTAAAACTGCTAACTTTGGAGCTGGCAAGAGATAGAGCCCTCCCATGTTGGCCCTTCTGGCTCCAGCTCATCAGCAGGTACAGTGAACAGTTATGTGTGGCTTCTTGATAGCTCCACAAGCAGAAGGCAAGCCTCACGAAGGGGTTCATGCCCTTCGCCCATTCCTCCTCCCTGGTAGGAATGGAGACATAATAGCTTGGACCCCAGTTTTCATGTTGAACCCTAAGGAAGAAGCCATGAACTGAGCAACAGCAGCATCCAACACAAAGAAGCCTTGGCCCTGATGACCACAGAATTGCCGGGGCAGGCCTGCAAACTTCATGCATGTAAAAAAAAAAAAAAAAAAGAGAGCCAGGCGATGGTGGCGCATGCCTTTAATCCCAGCACTCGGGAGGCAGAGGCAGGCGGATCTCTGTGAGTTCGAGACCAGCCTGGTCTACAGAGCGAGTTCCAGGACAGGCTCCAAAGCCACAGAGAAATCCTGTCTCGAAAAAAAAAAAAAAAAAATGAGAAAGAGGAAAGTATCCAGCTTACAAATTTAACTGATACTTCACATTTCCCTTTCACAAAGGAATCTACCAAAGCATTAGACACTTTTGATTTAGTTATCTGAAGCAAACTAATGTGACCTTAAAGCGTTTATACTTGAAACAGCAGCAAAAAAAAATTTTTTTTTTTTCTGGAAATGAGAAAGAGGGCAAAGAGGAGAAGATGAAGGTTTCCAGTGGGTGGATTAGACATAGCCTGATAGGAGTGGAAGCATTAGCAGCAATGTAGAGGAAACAGTGGGGACAGCCCGATCGAGTCAGAGAAAGGAACGGATAACGGCTGAAGATCTCTCTCTGCCTGAGACAGCCAGGACAGCAGCTGAATCAAACAGTCTAGTAACAGTAAAAGGAGACAAGGGTGAAACTTCTGCTCACTGACTCTCAAAAATGACAACTTGCAGAACAGTTTGCAGATCCCTGCTCTTGCTCTCCGCCCAGACATCTAAGCACTGGAGCTGCGGCTACCTCTGTTCTCATCCTCGCTCTGCCATTTCCCAGCTAGAACAAGCTGTCTGTCTGTCCAGCCTTGCTCTCACCTTTTGCAAAATTAGAGGAAACTGACCTAAAGGACATAAGCCAACCATCTTCACAAATCAAAACTCTACAAATGAAAACTATGTAAAATATGAGATGTAGAAGTATATGTCTCTCTGTGTATGTATGTGTACATGCACAAAACTCAAAACTCTTGATATGTGGTAGCTGGGTGGTAGTGATACATGCCTTTCATCTCGGGGCTCGGGAGGCAGAGACAAGCAGATCTCTGAGTTTGAGGTCAGCCTGGTGTACAGAGTAAGCAACCCTGTCTCAAAATACAAAAACCAACTTCTTGATATGCAATAAGTTGAAACTGATCAGTCAGTAGGTAGCATAGCTTTGAATTACCAGTTATAACAAGTGACAATGGACCAACCATACATATTCCATATTTCCATAATCTGTGTCTTTCGCAGACCTGAAAGATCTCAATAAAATGTAGCACACTCCTGTCCAACTCTGTGCTCTAACTTCCCTCTCCACGTTCACGTCTGCGTCCACTACAGTTTCCACGGTTCTCAAGGAGCACCACTGCACTCTTGGACAAGAAGAATTCTGCCATTTCCCTTCTTAAGTACAGGATTGATCTCCACAGACCATCTCATTCTTTATGCTACTCCATGGTCCAAATTCTAAATTGTATCCTCAAACTTTTTTGAAATAAGCCCACCTTTGTAAAAGGAAGCCTACCTACCAAGACATCCAATGGGTTTTCTATGGATTATCTTGGCAAGAAAATTTTCTCCACACAAAGCAACATTTATAGATATAAGACGTATACCTAAGTAAGCTATCTGCTTTCTTCGAATGTAATTCTCAACAAAAAGGAACAGAACTGCTTTAAAGTTCAATAGTCAACAATCAGGAGTCCTGGGGATACACACAGAAGGTGTGGGGAACCACGGTGGATGGAGGCTCTGCATTGGTTAGCAGTACAGGAGAATTCATTCTTTTGTAGAAACAAATTAGAGATGATGGACATGGGTCAAAAATACCATGGGTAGAAACTCCTGTTGTTCATCACTGAACAGTGTTCAACACTGAAAACTGAGCCAGCCAATGCTGCAACTTCTATATTAATTTCATAACTTGCTTACTTCCAGGGGAATAAGAGCAGAAATAACTACTGGAGTTTTAATAACACACACATCCAGAAGAATCCAGAGTATATGCACTTTGAATTTCTTAAGGCAAATACTTTAAATCACTTTAAATAAAGCTGAAAGTCAGAAAGAAAGAAATAAACTCACTTGTCAAACTCATCAAAGAGATCACAGCTCTTCAGTTTTGAAAGGACAGTTCGAAAATATGGCGCTGGAAAACAAATACAGCATTAGGAACAGAAGGCTAACCATATCTTCCCAGCTCCCCAGCTCCCAGACTCTTTCTAAATACCATGGCTGTGTTGGAGATGATCAGTGAAAAATTGACAACTTATCTACAGTTTGATCACAATACTCAAAAAGCACACTCAAAGTAGTAAATATTTTGAAGTAATTTCCTGGGAGTGAGGATCAGTGTAAAAACAGTCACAAAGAGTAATAAAAATTAGCAATCAGATGATTCTGAACCATAAAATGGAACTCAGTGAATTTAAACCAATTAGTTAAAATCTCTGATACACATACATACGTGTATGAATACACGTATATATACTTATATGTATATACTTGTGTATAGGTGTGTGTGTGTGTGTGTGTGTGTGTGTGTGTGTGTGTGTGATTTCATATATTCCAAGCTAGCCTCAAGCTTTCTGTGTAGCTGAGGAGGCCTTAAAATTCCTGATCTTCCTGCCTCTCCACCTCTCAAGTGCCAGAATTACAGGTATGGACCACAATACTTGGTTTATTCAACCATGCTAGGTAAGCACTATATCAACTAAGCTACATCCTAGCCTTCTGCAAATCGTACACACACACACACACACACACACACACACATACACATGGGCAATTTTAAAGCAGAATCAGTTGAAAAAGTAAAATATCACAAAATTGTAACTGGCACCACTTGGTTTCTTAAGGCCTCCCCCAAATCTAAACTTTCTACATAAGTCCCAAAAGCTCTCCATGAATGGGGAAAGATTGCTGTCATGTTAACAGTCGGAATTATTCCTTCTCGATTTAATGAAAATAAACACCTACTAGTAAAGGTAAAATAGTAAGGATCTAGACCTTGCTGCTGAAGGAGATGAGAGGAACACTGGGGTTGGGGAGTCTCAGTCAGCAAAGTGCTTGTGTGCAAGTATGTGACCCAGGTCAGTCCCTGAAGCCCGCATAAACAGCACCGTGGCCTAGGCTTGCAATCATAGCATGGGGAGGCTGTGACAGAGGAGACAGAGAGCCCTAGACTCGGTGGCCTGTCACTCTAGCCTACTTGGTGAACTCCGGGCCAGTGAAGGAGCCTGCCTCCCAAAAAAGGAGGGGGGATCTGAGGAATGACATCTGAGATCTTAGGACCTTCACATGTTCACACGTATACGCACATGTGTCTACATGAACACACAGACAAAGGTGAAAGGAAGGAGCTGGGAAGAAGCTGCCCTTTAAGGTTATCCTGCTAATTCTAAACTATAATAAAGTTAGGCGTGTGAGCCCAGCTAAGTCCCACTGTGACAGAAGAAACGGAAGTCCATTTTCCCCAGTACCACCACCACGACCACAAAAACAGCAACAAAACAAAACAACAAAAACATTCTAACCACTTTTGCCTCTCTACCTCCTCTAAAAGTGTATTTATGTTTAAAACTTTAATTTTTTTTCTTTATTCTGTCCCCACATCCTATCTCCTGGGAGCTATTAGGAAACAAAAACATGCCGCTGGCATCAAACACCACACAAATTAAAAGGCAGGATAAGAACACTGGGACTGACCTGATGACTTTATCCCATAGGGTAAAACAAAATTATTGGTACCGTACATAGAAGTAATCCTTGCAAAATCAGATGTACACAGAAAGGGGTAAAACTGGGGAAACCTGGAAGGAAATAATAAAGCATGATCAAGTCAAGTGTCTGCTAGGTTTCTGAACATCTTTGATCACAACCGAAACTTACTACAGGGGATGACTTAGGTTGGGCAAATATTTTTTTTAAATAATTAAGACAATACTTAAAGGTTAGAGCTATGCCATTTTCAGGCACAGGAACCAAAGTTATATTACAGTGTAAGTAAAACCACCGTCTAAGTGACACAGTGCTGGCCAGGAAGTTGTATAGGGATTGATGCTAAGCTGTTCTAAACTTAAAAAGTGCCATATGCATAAACTATACCTACTGTAAAAACAAAGATACAATAAAAGTTAAATACAGCTGGAGAATTCAACTCTGCCCTAAAGTCACTAAACTAAGCTTTACTCGAGAACAAAAACTATGGACATCTTTCTTCTTGCTACATGCTCTAACTTCAAGATGTGCCCTGTGGAGCTGGGCGGTGGTGGCACACGCATTTAATCCTAGCCCTTGGCAGGCAGAGGCAGGCGGATGGCCATGAATTCGAGGCCAGCCTGGTGTACAAGAGCTAGTTCTAGGATAGGCTCCAAATCTACAGAGAAACCCTGTCTCAGAAGGAAAAGAAATTGCCCTGTGACTCCCATACCTCTCTTCGGAATGTCTAGTAGAGGCAAGAAGAGCTGTTACAGTATCCAGCACAGAATACAATCAGTCAACACCTGTTTAATAACTGCCTGAATGAATTTTAACTCCAAATCAATTTTCAAAGGACCATTTTAAAGTAGGAGAGGTGTTTATTCGTGTTATTAAAGAGAGGGAAAATATCTTAAAGGTCCCATTTCTAAGATATTTTCTCCCACCAGAAAGACTGGAATTCTTAGGGCAGGACCTGCCGCACTCTACTCCAGACCCCACATGGGCACTATCTGACTCCCACCATCAGCTTTGGGCTAATATTTAAAAGGACAGCAGGAAACCAGAGTGAGGTTGGGCTTTCCTAATGCTGCATGTCAAATGGAAATAGCTGTCAACTGAGAGTGCAGGCCTTCAATTTGATCCTGGTCGTGAGAGCTGCCTTACGAACTGACATGGCATCTTGGCAGAGGAAACAGGGAAGAAAGTGGCCTTCCCTGACCAAATGTGTGGTCAGGCTTCAGTGCTGGTTGTGACAGCAGCCTTAAGGCAGCCACCCTATAAAAGCCATTTCTAAATCAGTGTTGATTCCCAAGTTCAGGACCTACACTGGGGAGGGGGAAGTGCCAGGACACTAGTTCAAGCTTGGGGGAGAAGATTCAAGATCATCTCCTTGGAGAAGCCGAGCTCCAATGTGAGGCTCCGGCAAAGGGCTTTCTACTTCCGAGCTGCTTAGGGCGATAAGACAGGAATGAGACCGTTAACTAACAAGTCTTCCTAGCCAAACCTCTATTCATTGCTTACAATGACTCTCCAAATGCAATAATTATCTGGCACAATATCTCAGACATATTAAGAGCCTCAATAAGTATTAATTTTACCTGTAATAAGTAGGATAACCATATTAAAAAGCACTTTTATCACAGTGCGGCTCCGCGATTGTTACTCCTACAAAAGCCTGCTATGGTAAGGATGGGCGGTGAAGTTCCTGCTTTGAGAGGGAGCCACCAGTCCACAGAAGACGAAGCTGCAATCCGCACAGAAGCCTGATTCTGAGGGAAGGAGTCCTCCACCCAGGCAGGTTCCTGAGCAGAGCTTCCTGATGCTTCCTGGCTTTTATCCATCTTGGAGAAAGTAGCATCCTCAGAGTGTACTGTGCAAATGACAAATGCATGCTTGCCTGTGCCTTTACTTGCAGTCTTAGATGCTCACTTAGCTGTCTTAAACAAACACTATAACCTTGGGGGAGGGGTCTCAACGAATATGTTATATAATTGAACATGCCGAACCAAGTTTGGCGCTGCTTTGGCTGTCTAGTAGTGTGTGGCCCAGCCATCTATCCAAGTGGCAGTGCACAGGAGAAGACAGCTTTGTAGGTGGAAGGGTGAACTGGTAGACTACAAATCCCAGCAACCACAACGCTCACTCACTGTTCACATGACATGTGATCAATCATTTTGCATTCTACATAGTTCTATAAAACTCAGGGGATTTGTGTGTGTGTGTGTGTGTGTGTGTGTGTGGTTTTCTTCTTTCTTTTTCTTTATTTTTTTTGAGACAGGTTTTCTCTGTGTAACCCCAGCTGTCGCTGTCCTGGAACTAGCTCTGTAGACCAGGCTGACCTTAAACTCAGAGATTCACCTACCTCTGCCTCCCAAGTACTAGGAATAAAGGCATGCACCACCCATGAGGGGAAACTTTTAATAATAATAAAAAAAAACTGCATTTACTCGGATCAGTTGCTGGATGAAGTCTCACTGAGAGGGAAGGTGGTGGGAGAGGACTGGGAGGAGAGGAGGGAGGAGAAAAAAAACTAAAGAACAGTTCTCTTTTTTTCTAATCAAACCCACATAGGCCTCTCCAATCTCACCTCAGTTAAGAGAACACCAGCTGTAGTGTCTTTCCTTAAACTATGCTCAGAGATCTGGCTGGATGCACACATGCAGACTACTCAAATTTCTTACACACTTCCTTACACACGCAATATCACATGTACCAAGATGTCATGAAAAGGGTAGTGTGAAAATGACCACAAACACATTCACAAATGTTGTATGGCTACAGGTTTTTTAGTCTACTTTTTACCTTAGGAGAGAGCTGAAAGCTGGCTTTTTTGGACAAGTGTTGATATTTTTACTCTTGACATCCATAGATGGTACCCTAGGAAAAAGAATTATAAAGTAAGAAACTAGAACCAGGAATCCTGCCCAAAGAGAAACATGTACACCAGGAACTCACTGGACTCCACTGCTGACCGGCCTTGGAAGCAGAGGACAAAGACAGACAGACAGACACGCACTCATGCACGCATGCACGCATGCACACACATACACACACACACGCACATACAGCCCTGACGTTTGAAAAGGCCCACGTTGTCCTAAGGAACTGGGGGAACAGGGATTTCCAGGGGCCTCTGGGAAGGGTTCTTCCACAATGTGGAAGCCAAAATCCCATTTAGTTTTAGTCCTCAAAGGCCTTCGAAGTCAAACAGTCCAAGTGAACGTGGCTTTCATCCCAAGTCATATGTGGGAACACCTAGTGACGGCAAACAGTGTACACATCCGACAGAGCAACTTGAACAGACCATTGCTTTTGGAGTGCCACAGGTCACACGGCTGAGAGCCATATCTCGCTGTCCTCAGTTCTTGACTCGGGTGGTTCCTAAATGCATCGTGAAACCCAACAAGGAAAGTAAATGGCAGGGGTGGGAGTGGGGAGGTGGGGGGAGGGTGATGGGAGGAAATGGCCGGAAGAGGAAAGAGCATCACTGCGTTTCATTCATTGATCAACGATTACATGAAGAATTGATGCTTTAAAATTAAATGACTGAACAAGATAAAGAAAAAAATTTATTAATATTTTTCTACTATCAATAAGACTCAATCTGAATAGACTGAAGGTTTTGTAGACAGGTAATTTTTTTTCCATTTTTATGATTTTTTTTTCTAAAACAGAGTTTCTCTATGTAGTCCTGGCTGTCTTGAAACTTATTCTGTAGAGCAGGCTGGGCTTGAACTCACAGAGATCTGCCTGTCTCAGTTTCTCAAGTGTTGGGGTTAAAGGCACACTACAGCCAGTTTAAATTGTTTTACATTTATTTTTACTATTTTATGAGTGTTTTGAATGTACATCTGAGTACCACGTTGTGGACGCTGGGAATCAAACCCAGGTCCTTTGCAACAGCAAGAAAGGCTCTTAACCACTGAGCCGGCTCTCCAGCCCTGGTTTTCGTTGTTTTAAGTACGAAAACTTCCATACTCAGAACTAGTAAGCTATTGAACTAAGAGGATGTCAGCCCGTAGATAATGAGATGCTTTGAGAATACTGCAATGGCAAGGGCCATGTGGTTTATCCATAGGATGATACACAGATGCGGTGGGCAAGCACAGCAAGGCACAAACACTGCTAGATTCCATGAGCAAGATGAACTGGATTACTTCATTTCTAAGGTAAGAGATGGAGAAGCAACACAAAGACTGAACGTAGACAACTGTTTTAGAATATCACTTACTCAAGCCCAGAATTCATTAACATGGTATCTTGGGAGTCAGCTAGCTCTGGGGAACCTCTTGTCTCTCCCTTACAAAGCTGAGACTCCAGGTGAGCTCTGACACCCACCATGCATTCTAGGGATGCAAACTCTGGGCCTCTCACTTGCATGGCAAGTGCCTTAAGTGCTGAGTTGCCTCCTGTTGGTAGTGATGTGTTGCATGTGTTCGGGTAGGCCAGAGAACCACTTTGGCCTACATTTGAGCCAATCTGCATCGTTGTCTCAGAGTCTCTCACCGAGAGGCTATGGATCAGGCTAAGCCTACTAGCCCAGTTGGTACTACCACACCTGGCTGTTTATGATCAAACTCAGGTCTTTGTGTTTATATGGAAACTATTTACCAACTGAATCATCTCCCCTGCTCCTTTAACTGTCTCCCCAGTATAGGGAACAGAGAAGTCCTGAATGAAAAGTCCTGAGTGAAATTGTGGGCTTGACACGGACACAGCTGTGTCGAGGACCCTATATCCTCAGGCTCAGAGAGACACACACAAAAGGGATCTGATCCTGAGTGCAGAGAATGTCCACCACTGCTTTCTCCCCTGGTGTGTCCCTGGTGTGTATGGCCTGAAGACAGCTCCTCTCCAGAGACTGCTCCTGTCACGATTAGCTGAGCCTGTCACTTTGACCCAGCTGTACGCCATAATCCCTGTCTTCTTTTCCAGCTGTATGCAATAACTTGCTCTCTCATTTCGACTGTCTATAGTAACTAGCACACTGAGTTTCCAGGGTGCTCAGACTTCTCTAGCAGACAGCTCTGACCATCCCCCCGCCCAGACCTCTATTCCTATGTCCATCTGTCTGTCTTGTCTTTATTCCCTTGCTGCCCCAGTCAGGTCCATTTCTAAGGGCCATGCAGGGACTCCGTACCCAGCTCCCCTAAGACAGTTTTAAAGGAAGAAATACCGGGGTGCACACCCACATTAGCTGGGTAAAGTTAACTGAGCGTGGGCACTCTTCAAATTCTGGTGACAAGAGATGGTGGTGAATTCAACGTATTTTTATTATCTCCTTTATCATTTCCTCTGTGATAAACAGGATGTTTAGAAAAGTAAAATGGTAGATAATCTAATCTCTTGAGATGTGGAATTGAGAGGCATGCCTTTGGGTGGGTCTTGAGGGTATTTCTAGCAATGATTAATTAGGAAAAGACCCTAACCCCAGAGTGAATGGCACCCTTTGGTAGGCAGCCCAGACAGGAAACACTCAGAGGAAAATACAATGTAGCTTGCCTGCCTCCTTTGCCTATGAGTATGTCTGTCCGTCACTTGCTCTGTCTTCCAATGTGAACTGAAACCCAGCCAATTTGAAGAAATCCTCCTGCTCTTCATCATGACACAGGGACAGCTGAAGCCTTTCAGGCTGAACCACACGGGCCACTGCTGTGACCTGAGCCTCTCTCCGGGTTTCAGCCAGCCATTGGACTATTCAGCCTCTCTCGTGGAAGTCATTCTAATAAACCCTCTTTTATAATATGTGTACATTGTATGGGTTTTATCCTTCTAGAGAACCATGTCTATTACAAATAGTAGCTTAGCAATCTTTTTGCCTTTTCTCCCCTTCTATGATTATTAGAAGGAGCCAGAGTGAAGGAAGAGATGTCTTCCATGAATGCTGAATGAGACTTCAATGTTCTCTGGCCCAGAGATCAGGTGCAGAGGCTAAAACTGTAGGTTCAAACCACCTGGCTGGTATTAGGGTTTCTTCTAGTGGCATTTGGCCAACTTTATTCCATGAAAAAGCACTGCAGTAATCCTTCAGTGATGCAATGAAAGTGCAGAAACAGAAATATGAGATTCTTCTTTTGTTTTAGTTAGAAACAACCTAAGAGCTGCCGTTGAAACACTGGGAAGTAACCACTTGATTTATATGCATTTAATTGTGTACTGACATCGATTTAGGATTTAAAGGTCACCAAAATTTTATTCGCAGCCAAAGGACTGAAATGAGAAGTGTAAAAAGCACACTTAATAAATTTTCTACTCAGTAAAATTATGCCTTAAAATTTTAGAAGTATTTTACATCAAAGCTATTTTGAAATGCATATTGCATTTTTGAACGAAGGGAACTGGATATGGTATGTATGTGTTAGCATTAACAACCTAAAGCTCGACTGATTCTGAGTCTAAGAACCACTTCATTAATTCAAGAAGATGAGCTATTGTATATATACAAAATGTTATATCCTGAAAGTAGTCAAGACGAATGCTTTACTTGGGAGTCAATAAGAAATGGATTGAGGTCGGAGGGGTGGCTTAGAGGCTAAGAGCTCATACTACTTTTGAAGAGGACCTCAGGTCAGTTCCCAGGACATGTGGAGGGTGACTCTTAACCACCTGCAACTTCAGCTTCAGGGATCCAACACCCTCTACTGGCTTCGACAGATATCCACACACATTCACACACACACACACACACACACACACACACATACACACACACACACACTTTAACATTAAATATCTTTTAAAGAAATAGGGCTATCCAACAGGGTTTTTCTCAATTAAAAAAATCTAAGTCTCTCTCTCTCTCTCGGTCTCTTTCTCTGTGTGTGAGTCTGTGTGTATGTGTAAGAGTGTGTAAGTGTATGTATAAGTGTGCGTGAGTGTGTATGTGTGTAGGTGTTAGTGTGTGTGTGTGGATGTGAGTGTGTGTGTGTGAAAGTGTGTAAGTGTAGGTATGACTGTGTGCAAGTGTACATGTATGTAGGTGTGAGTGTGTATGAGTGTGAGTGTGAGTGTGTGTGTGTGTGTGTGTGTGTGTGTGTTGTTTTGTCCTGCTCTGCCACTCTGCCCTTGAATCTTTTGAGACAGAGTCCCTCCCAAACCCTGGAGCTGAACCTGATATTCGGCCAGCCATCACTAGTGCTCTTCCTATTTCCAGCCCTTTCCTCCTCCCCAGTGTTGGGGTTACAAATGCACAGGGTTTTCATACCTGGTTTTCACATGGTTCTAACAATCTACCCCCAGGCCCTCATCCATATGCAGCAAGCACTTGAGCCACTGAACCATCTCCCCAGACCTACTCAACAGTTTTAAATTGTTAAAGAAACAATGTACAGCATCCTGAATAGTAAAATCCCAGTGTATGGTGAAAGGCTAGACAAATCCAACATGTTACAATATTGGATACAATATTGTAATACAATACAAAACAATACAATACTCTGGAAGCTTCTTTACATAAATAAGGGGAAGACAGTTTGAAAGTCATGTTAGGTAATAAAACAAACTTACCAATAGCCATTTGTTCCCCACAGGATACAGTGTAGCACATAATAGAGGAAGACGCAACTCAAGAATAGGGCCACCAGGTACCCTCTCATGGCTGGCCTGCCTGAAACAGGATCCAAAGACAGAGGGGATGATTATGCAGATGGTTTTCACTACGGTTCGAATACTTGAATTAATAAATAAGTCTATAAAGAGAGAGGAGACAAATGATGAAGATGGTCACTGAGGAGCTCACTGACTCTGGACTGATAGCTGGGGAGTCTGCATAGGACCCACTAGGCCTTCTGAGAGTGATGACAGTTCTGTGACTTGGGCAGTCTGTGGACCCACTGGCAGTGGAACCAGGATTTATCCCTATCCCTAGTGTGTGCACTGGCTTTTTGGAGCCCATTACCTATGGAGGGCTATCTTGCTTAGTCTCAATACTGGGAGGGGGGGGCACCTCGACTTGGTTCTGCCTTAACTTGATATGCCAGTCTTTGTTGACTCCCCATGGGAGGCCTCACCCTTTCTGAGGAGTAGAAGGGAAGTTGGGTGGGAGGGGGAAGGTGGCAGGGGAGTAGGAGGAAGTGGGGGGGGAGACTGTGGTTGGTAAAAAAAACCTTTTAAATAAAAAAATTTTAAAGAAAGAAAAAAAAAAAACGCCCCCTGAATGTACAGAAAGAACACTTTGGCTTAGTCTTAGCAATTGATCAACATATGATGCAGGTTTCCAACAACCAACAGCTCTGTGGTGCCGAAGCTAGAGGCTTCCCTGAAACTTCCTCATATTAGGTAAAAAAAAAAAAAAAAAAAAAGGAAAAACTTCTTCAAGAGGAGAATTTATATATCTCCACACCCAAAACCTTTCTTCTAAAACACTCACTGAAGAATATCTTTTTTTGAGCCTTTCCAATAAAAAGTGAGTATGTGCTTCAAGATGTGAATAACCATTTGACCCCTTCGTGGCCTGAAGTGACTTCAAATACGATGTCATAGTTTCAGTGCCCTTTTCCGCATTTCAAAAAACAGGGGGAAGCTATTAAAACATTTCAACTTTCAGACATTCGTATTTGACTCTTCAACATCCTCAGCTTTGTTTTGCACTAATGTGTTACTCCTTGTACCTTTGTAGGCAGAGAAAATAAAGATGACAATGTTCTCTAGATTGTAACACACACATACCACACAATACTTTATGGAATATAAAATAAAACCAGTGGTTCTCAACCTGTGTGTGGGTCATATATCAGATACCTACATATCTGATATTTATATTACACTTCAGTTATAAAGTAGCAACAAAGCCATTTTATGATGAGGGTCACCACAACATAAGCAAGGAACTATATTAAAGGGTCACATCACAAGGAAGTCTGAGAACCACTGGAAACTTTTTTTTTTTTTTTTTTTTTTTTTTTTTTGGTTTCTCTGTGTAACAGTCTCAGTTGCCCTGGAACTCACTTTGTAGACCAGGCTAACCTCAAATTCACAGAGATCCGCCTACCTCTGCCTCCCAAGTGCTGAGATTAAAGGTATGCGCCACACCACTACCGGGCCACTGGAAACATTTGAAGTGTGTTTGTTTGGTATTCCTGCCCTTTGCTTCAAATCCAGACATGCAAAACTCCTATTATTATTTCAGTATAAAATTAAATGCAGAAGTCATACTTAATATGTAGTTCTAAATACATCCTTTTATTTCAGTGCATTTGACTTTAAACAGGTACATTATCGCTCTGCTTCCTTTACCAAGGTTTCAGACGAAATAAACGACTGCATAGCCCATTCCTTTCTTTCTTATCCATATCTAGTGACCTGAATCCAGAGACCTGCTGAATGTACAAAGTCAGAGCTGGCTGGAATCATGTCCAGTTCCTTCTAAAGGGAAAATGGGTTGAAGTGAAAATCCGTTTTGTTTTAAATTGTGTGCTGTTGTGTGTGCACATACACTTCATACACATGTATGTGTGCAAGCATGTGGAGACCAGAGGACAACCTCTGTTTTGTTTGTTTGTCTGTTTGATACAAATGGTGAGACAGTCCCAGGGACCTGTCAGTCCCTGCCTCCCCAGCTCTAGGATTATAAAAGTCTGCTCTCATGCTCAGCTTGTTTACATGGATTCTGAGGGTGGAATTCATGTCCTCGTGCTTGTATAGCAAGCGCTCTATCAGCTGAGCCATCCTCTTATCCCCTAGCTGGAAATCTTTGGCCACTTTTTGCCTTTGTAAATGGAGCATACTAAACAAAAACTCAAGCATTTTCCTTGTTTTGTTTGCTTTTCTAAAACAGGGCGTCATCTTAAGAATCACAGTTGCCCAGGGTTTCTGATAGCTGAGACTCACTGGTGTGGATGTTAACGTAGGAGATCTGCTAAGCAGTCCTAACCTGTAATGTCTACCTGTAATGACTACCTGACTGGGCTTGGTCACTTCTGACTATCAGCTACTGCTCTGGCAGCCACCCCTCCCAAGCACCCTCGTAATAAATTAGTTTCAAATGACGGCAGAAAGCAAGTCAACAAGGGAGTTGAGCGAACTTTAGTCGCACATACATGGAATTAAGTTTGTGTAATTCCTGGGAAATCCCATGATCCACAGCCCAACTCCGCCTGAGGCCTGGGGACCTTGGTCAGTCAGTTTGCTTGCAGCATGAGTGACCACAGTCTATAAGCAAGAGCACTCCCTCATTCTCAGCAGGTTGTCAGAGGGTTGTGGGACGCAAAACTTTAAACTTCCACTCGGAATAATACTTCATATAAATATTTAATAAAGATATAACTTCCTAGTTTGTCAGCAAAATTTAAAAAAACATAGTTTCACATAAGGGCCTAGAAATGTTAGTAGTTAGCATTCAATCTGCTTCTCTATCCCTTAAGACATACTCTTGAGGGGGTCATTTTATGAAGCCTGGCATTATAGGTAAGTGACAATCTTGTTCTCGTCTTATTTTTTCACTCACTAATACGTGGTTCAACTGAAAACAAAGGAGTATGAGAAAACATTCTTTTTTTTTCAAAAAGTAAAATAAACCTGCTTATCAAGAGGTGTTATACACAGCACCCAAAAAAGAAAAAAAAAGAAAAACCTGAAGCAGCCAAGGTACTTTCTGGAATTTCATCGCCAACTTACAGCTTTGATATTCAAGGTGCAAAGTAGACTAGGGCCAACCCGGATATCCTTGTGATAAACATGTCTGGCCCCTCTGTCTGTCCACAGAAAAAAGCTTTCACAAATAGATTAATTCTTTAATTGTGATCCCATAAATGGACCGACTATGTTACGCTAAGCAAAAGTATTCATAGGAAAACCACTCAGGATTCTTACAGACAATGTATGGCTTTGAAAAGCCATAAGAGTCTAGAATGCAGCTTCGACAAACAAGCTAGCACATTTTAAGATCCTGACATGAAACATGAAGGGTAGCCAATTTTGGAGAGCAGGTGCCCTTCAAACCAGGGTTGTCATCACTGCTTCAACCTGAGGGCTGGGAGCTGTGAGGAAGTCATAACTCACGCCCAGAGGGTAGGAGCGGATCTTTTCTCAGTGCATCAGTTTGAGTGGGGAAAAGGTCACTCTGTAAATTGTGCGGCATGCAAGCATGAGGACCCGAGTTCAGACCTCCAAAAAAAGCTCCTTGTGGGTGAGTTTTCTGAAACCCTGGCACAGCACAGATCCCTGAAGCTCAGTGACCAGTCAGAAGGGCCAAACAGATGAACTCCAGGTTCAGAGAAAGGCCTGGTTTCAAAAGATAAGGAGAAGAGTGATTGAGAAAGATGATTACCTCTGGCCTACATAGACACAAGTTTAAGTACATGTCACACACACACACACACACACACACACACACACACACTGTGTTTTAAGACAGCAGCTTTCCCTTCTCTTCAATAGCAAAAGAATGTACTGTTTGTATTGAGCTGCTAAGACCACCAATAGCCTGAAAGGCTAACATCTCCTCTAAGGGTCACAATAAGCTTGCTAAGTGGATGTGTGGGTATGGTCCTCCAGACAAGTGAGGGAAAAAAGGTTGTCTCCCATCACACAATTTAAGAGAACCAGAAAGGGAGTCTGGTCTTTCCCTTTGAGATCTATTCCCGGTTAATCCTGTCATCTCAAGATAAAAGGCAAGAGGGGAACCCAAACAAGAGAATTGTATTCTACAACTTCCTCCAGGTGCTTTGTTGTCATTGTTTAGGAAGTGCAAACAACAGTGAAGGTCAGCACCAGCCAGGGTGAGGTGGGAGCCACCCTGAACGTGAGGTTCTTAATGCATACAGAAGTTTGAGAAGCGCTGCTCTGGGACTCACTATAGAATCACGATGTAGAAAAAGAAAATTTTGGGTTTGTTTGAGTCTATAACAGATGGTACAGTAAATGTCCCCAATAGGACCACAGGTGACCTGAAAGCACGCACTACCTTTCTTATCTTTCTCCTCCACAGGGGATGTCACTCAGAAGCTGCAGAGAAGATGGTTGTTGAATGTAGTTACAGATACCAGAGCTCAACGGTCCAACTAATTTTTCATTCTAAATGCCTAGTGTGTGGCACATGGCCAAGGACTAATGATGACATGAATTCATTGAAAAGCAAACATCTGGGGAAGGGTTCTGGTGAATCATCACTGGCCGCCCTAACAACTGCAAGGAAGTGGACCGCCTACAGTTTCTATTTTAGAGCTGAGGAACATGAAGGGCTGAGAGAAGTTTCACACCTGACATGTGACAGAATCATGTGACTCAAGCAGTAGCTATTAGACCAGAGTCCCTGTACACACTATCTCTCCCGGGGTCCCTTTCACAGATGAGCAGGTCCAAACTCTTGATGCCAGATTAAACATTACAGAATGTTTCTCTGTCAATTCCACCCATTTTTTTTTTAGCAGAAATGATTCAATGCCAATTAATAAAATGGAAAGTTGACAGTTTCTGACACAAATTCTGCTGAAATAAAACCCTACTTGTCTCCACCCTTCTCCTTCCAACCTGCCCCTCCTTACTATTCTAGTATTATTTGCAGAAACAAGCAAGCCCTACAAAACAGCGCTAGAAAAAAAATGACCATATTTTTCTTTAGGGGCCTCCTATTGTTTTCTCTATCCCCAGGGAGCTTGCTAAACAGCC